ATAGATTAAGAGAAAAGAGAAGACGTCGATATTTTCTCGAACCAGCTTGTCTTCTTTGTTGATCAGCTATGACAAATTTTCGATATAAAAGAAAGGTAATGAGAAGTAAATGGGTGAATAAAATGAGAAAATAAGGCGTAGATGTAATAAGTAAATCAAATGTCTCATAGATATCACGTGAATACCAAAGATCACAAGTCGGTGTTTCTGAAGGATCGTCGAGATCAATTGTTGATGCTCCATTCTGCATGATAGTTGGATAGTAAATGCAAGGAAACGTAATAGCCACAAAAAGACCAATATAATGAAAAATGATGGCATATGAATATTTCTGACCACGAACTCGATGAAAAATAAATGGTTTGACGACAAGCAAAAAACGTTCAATTGAAAGTTGTGCGACGAGAAAATTATTAATTTGTGTTGGAATATAATCAAGATAGACGGTGAGTTCACACAATGGAGCACCAGGCAGAGGTAAACATCCATCATGATAATAATAATACATTCTTATTGGTCCTTGGATAATACTAAGCAGTATTTGAGCTAAGCAACTCAGTAAAAGTGCGTGACTTTTGACATTGAATATTTTTTTTGCTCGAAAGATAAAAGTAATGAGGTAAACGATGCAGAGCAAAGCTCCAATCGGGACAGTGATACAGCTAATACCAAATAAAATTCGATACATGGGAATAAGATCATAGCCAAGATCGTCTATGGATGCGCATTCGAAGATGTCGGAGGTTGTATTGTCACTTTCGTTCATATTTATAGCTAAAACGATAAACAAAAATATAGATAGTACTGTTTCACTAATGAAAGATAGTCTGAATGACTTGAACACATAATTGTTCTTTCTCACTCATATAAACACAGGGAATATTTTCTTTTTTTTTCTTCTTCCGTAGAAACGATCAAACTTGGCGAGATATTCAGAATATTTTGTTATAAAACAAGAAATGACTCTTGCTGTGAAGTTAATTATTGTCAAAAAGAGTTATCCCTGATAATATTTCTATACATCCGATATGGTATTCCTCATTTAACAAAATCATATTTGATTATAATGAGGTTTGTCAGAAACATCTATCTCTTTAATATTTGTAATGAAGATTATTCTGTAAGATCTAATAAACATCTCTCTGTCGTCTGTGTTTTTCCTTTTCTTTTTTTTCTCCTTCTCTCTTTTCTATTCATTATGAATACATAAGCATGACGATGCTTTGATTATCGTCATTGGCTAAAAAGTTTCACTCTATTTTTTCCTCTCAGCGGTCGGTCGGCTGCTTGAATTGCATTTTTAATTATGAGGACAAATTAAGACCTAATTCAGTGCTTCGCTATATATGAATGTTTCATTAAGGAAATACTAAAATATGATTTCAAGTGGAAAATCATGCATAAGTTTATCGCATATATGTCTATTTCTAGATAGTTCTGATCGTTTTCGGATATGATAGCATGAGAATTAACTGGAACCAGTTCTTATCCAATAAAAAGATACAAAAAATATGAGTAACAGATCAACAACAGACTTTGATGGTATTAATCAAATGCAGATTAAACTTAATCTTCAAATACTAAATTTATCTTTCTATAATTATACATCTCAAAATAGATTGTGCACTATGAGCCAGGGATCGGACAGTTCAGTTTAGTTCCAAAGAACTCAACTGTCGGACCCCTACTATCAGCCATAGAATTAACAATCAAGAATTCGAATTGTTAATTAATCATGATATTTTCTAGACGCAACGACAGTGTTAAAAAGCCTTTTCCTTTACAAAAGAATAAAATTACAGTCTAACATATTTTAAAAAAATTACACCCAAAGAGAAGGTAAATAGATAATGAGATATTCACGAGAGTAGAGAAATGTGATGGAAATAAATAAACACAGGAGTAGGGATGTGGGCGTAAGCGAATCTATTTCTTTTCAATTTACATCCATACTCACAATCTCAGTTATATTGAAAACAAAATAAAATTATATAGAGAAAAAGAATTATAATCAACGATGATTGTAATTTGAAATAAGTAAAGAATGAGTGAACAATATTTGAGCTTCGATGACATTTGTCTTCTCATTTGTTGAAGATGTGGTTGTGAATATGGAATGAAAATGATACCCACGCTCACACTCTCACATTGTATATCATTAAAAAAATACCATGAAACATTTAAACACAACATATTTTCTGGTTTGATTATATCAAACAAAAAGTAGAGCCGTCAAGAAACTATTAGATACAAAAAATATACTAATATTTGAAACACTATTTGTAATTAACTGAACGACTACATAATGTGATGAAGTACGAATACTATTAATAAAAGCAAATGAATTTCAAGTTCGTTTTTGTTACATTCTGAAAATATGTCGTAGAATATGGGAAGCTGAAAATTCACTTATCTATACTGTAGAAGACATTTTTTCAAGTAGTGATTAATACGAAGAATTATTAACAATAATGAGACCGATTATACGTAATAGTCAAATTTTCCCTATTACACATCATTTGAATTATCGAAACTATTGATTGTCTATCACATGATCATAGTAAGCAGGATACAACGACAGTTGAGCCTCACGTAATATCTGATTTAATTTATCAAAAACTAGTGGATGTGAACATGCGACATCTTCTAATCATATTGATAATTCGTTGATATATTTTTTCGTGGTAAAGTCAATCGTCTTTACAGAAACGAAATCAATAAGTTCTTGATTTTTTGTTAAATTCATATACATCTAGTTTGAGGGTGTGGGTGTAGGTGTAGGTAGTATTTATTTCTTAACGTGATCCACACTCACGCCGACCCTTGTGTATTTTTATTCCATTATTTCAGGGTGTAGTTATAAGTATTGAATCCTTCCACATCCATTCCATCCTCAAGATATTTTTTGATACAATTTATGTTTACATATTATTTAAATAGAAGTTTACATTAAAGACACAAATTAAGATGTTGTATGTTGAAGTAAAATAAGGATGTGGGTCTGTATGAGAGTATGCATAGATTAGGATATAGTTGCGGAGGTAGGTGCATCTTCTCTTGATCATCGTCCACATCCACATCCTGACTCAACCCAAACCCATGAGAGTCAGAAAAAAGAAGTAAGAGACAATACTTTCCCTGTTTAAAATGAATACTGATATATAAAGTATTATGAGTTAGGAAAAAAAATAATGTTTTCCTGCGTTAAAATATATTTGTCCTGATACATAAAGCCATGAGAGTTAAGGAAAAAAATAAGAGAGAATGCTTTCGTTAAATAGATTGGATACTGACATGTAGAGTGCTGTGAGTTAGAAGAAAAGAAAATAAATAGCATTTTCCTCCATTAAAATGTATTCTGTTCTGGTATATAGAGTTATGAGAGTTAGAAAAAAAGTGAGATATTCCACTTCTCTTGAATAGAACGGCTTCTGACATACACAGTATAGGCCATAAGGAAGTGTTCGATAAGAAATTTAAATATGTGCATTACAACTCGTGCAACGAAGCTGATTTTTGGATCACTGATAAAGATATGTCTTTCTCAATGTAAAGCCTGAACACTTCTTTGTCATTATTAAGAGAATCAGCTAATTCACTCGAACCATAAAGGCAATATTCGATGCTTTTACCGGCAAAATAATTTTGCGTTTTTCTATATAGTGTTATTTCCTCATCTGTGAAAAATGAACATTTCTCTATTATCGATCAAAAAAACAGCTCGGTTGCATAAGCCGTAACGGAATATTTAAATTTCTTGTGGCCCACTTACATATGGTCCATCCTGTATAAAAATGTTGTGAGTTAGAAAAAAAAAGAAAAAGATAAGCTTTTTCTCAGTTGTAGTATATATAGACGCAAATTGTGCTGGCAGTGAGGAAAAAAAGGAGAAGGCAAATACCTTCTTTGATTTTCTTACTTAAATACTCGTTTATTTCTTCGAAGGTTTCTATATTGATCGTCATTTTCTTTGATTTTTGTATCATTTGTTGTTTTTGTTTACGAAAGATCGTTAATTGCAACGATATATTTCCATTATTATCACATGACTTGGGTGTTTTTTATAGGAAAATCTTTTGTTTTAATGGTATGATATAATCTTTATTGTTTCAGATATTTTTTATATAATATCGAAGTAACTATATTTTTCCAGAAAGAAAATTCCATGAGATAAAAGTTATTTTTATATCATCTTTTTTCGAATTCTTTTAGATTTCTTTTCATAAAATTGCAAAATTTTAACGAAGCTTTACAAATGGATACAAACAACAGAATAAGTGTTTGTGATATAATTTATTATAGAAAAAAACAAAAACTAATTCGTTTTCTTTTTGTCTTTACTTTATAGCCTCAATCAGTTAACAGCGATATAGGTGAAACACGACCTACACAATCGACAAGATCGTACGTGTATTCTGCGTTTTAGTAAATGAAAAACATTTTTTTTTATTTTAGATGTGTGTGCATTCGAAGTAAATTGACGTGGATCATATTTACTATTGTGATAATAGTGATCATTACTATTCCAACAGCTATTATTCTTACGAATAAGGAAAACGTTGCTGAAACAAACTCAACAACAATAATGATGACAACAACAGGAAAAGAATCAATAACATTGATGTTAACAGCAACTACAGGACCATTAACAACAACAACTACAGAACCATCATCAACAAGAACAACAACTACAACAACAACAGAATCATCAACAAGAACAACTACAGAACCATCATCAACAAGAACAACTACAGAACCATCATCAACAATAACAACAACTACAACAACAA